CAACTTAGAAGAGCCATTACACTAGAACCACATAACCACTTTTCATATTTCTTATTGTGAATAGTTTGAATTTCTCTCATCTTACAGTTTTTTCTTTTTAATAACCTTGACTTTATGCTGATTGTTTAAAGGCCAGTAAAGTCATAATTTTCTATAGCAGCTAGGTTGATTTGGGGGTGAGGAAATCTTAAATGACAACACAGTAATAAATTCACTGGCCCTGCTCACTAGAGAACCCTGTTCCCATTTTGGATTATGGGGCACTTCATAGTAATAGTGAACTAGACTGGACTTAATGCTAGTCTTTCTGTTTGTAATATTGTCCAATTATCAAAGCTGGGATGCATTATTACTGGCAGTTACACTTGCTGTCAATTTATCTTGGCTCAACTGTGGTTTTATTTGTAGTTTAATATAGTGAATACATTGAGTTGCGTTGTTAGTTTAACAAGATCTCTGGAGAACTCTTTCATGATGATGCATCTTGAGATATGCTAGGTAGCCTCAAAGTTATTTGTGTGTCAGCCTACAGAAATCCAGCCTATGGGAGAGGGAGAAAGATAGTGGTAAATACTCTCATCCAGAATTAAACCAAGAGTCTAATAATTACAATTAAATTTATAGCATTTATAATTATGAACAGTTATACAGTACTTTATACTAGTTAACTCAGTTGTCCCAGCCACATTTTTTCAGCAGTTTTTGTTTTGGCTTCTTTGAGCTTTTGGAATTTTATCAGAATGTGTTATTTTGCTACCCATATGAAATTCTGGTAGTTTTTAAGGGATTACTCATTTCTGTGCTTTACATTGGAATTTTAACACCATGGCTAGATAACTGGAGAGGGAAGTGGAGTTGCTGGGAGGTGTTAAAAAACATGCTATCAGAGTAGTAGAAGGCTGTTCACACTGGTACTCAGGAGGTCGTTAGAGTGTATACACTTCGTTAGAGTGTATACACTTCGTAGGCTTGATGAGAACAAGATTTAAAGTGGCAAATCTGATGAAAGTCAAATACAGCTTGGAGCAACCAGGCTCTACAGAGTCCTTTCTTAAGTTTAGCCTCATCAGTTTACATAACAGAGTAGAGGAATTGAGAGGACCCAAATATGTCCTTTACTCATTCTACTCTACTCCTCCCATCACCTACCTAAGAAAGAATGCTTATAGAAAGAAACTTAGAAACTAGTATGTTGGAGTGATTGTCCTTGATGGTAAGGGAAAGGACCAAGAGAATGGAATTTAAGAATGTTGGATATTCTTTTCATTTCCTTGTCCCTTTCTTAAGTTATAGGAATTTCACAATGACTATATTACAGTTGCTCATTGGTGCCTCTAGTATTTCGTCATCTGTAAAATTAATGGAGTGGACAGGATGATTCCATCGCTATTCTCCTGTAACAACAAATCTCAAAACTTTTTGGTCTCAGGATCCCTTGGCAGTCTTAAAAATTGTTCAGAAGCCCAAAGAGCTCTTGTTTATACAGATTATATCCACTCAGACTGGCTCGAGAGTTCATTGTTAAATTTTCAATGTGAGCATTTACAGCTAGTAGCTAGGTGGCCCAGTGGACCTGAAGTGAGGAAGACCTGAATTCAGATGCAGCCTCAGTCATTTATTAGCTGAGTGACTTGGAGAAGCCACTTGACCTCTCTTTGCCTCATTTCATCAACTGTAAAGTTGGGGTAATGATGGCATCTACATGCCAAGGTAGTTGTCAGAATCAAATGAGATAAGATGTGTCGATCATTTAGCGCAATTCTTGCCAAGTAGTAGGTGTTTTATAAAAGCTAGCAGTGGTGGTGGTGGTGGTGGTGGTGTGTGGTGATGGTGGTGATGGTGGTGGTGGTGGTGGTGGTGGTGGTGATGTGGTGGCGGCGAAGAAGAAATGTGGTAGAAACCTTTTCCCAGGAATTCTGTGGGAGTATTTTCACCTAGTATTTCTACCCTGCTCTTTTCTGTTCATGTGAACCGTACCACTTAATCAAGTGTTCATTTTTCCTCCCTGTGGAAACTTTTCCAGTAACTTCAGCCAACAGTGATCTTTTCCTTGCCTGCTCAGTAGTAACACTTTTCCTTGAAAGTTTATATTTTGACATCTGAATATAGTCAGGTTAGCACATTATTATACGGGGTGTCCCAAAAGTTAGTATAGTTTGAAGCCTTAATAGTTTTAACAGCTTAAAACTGAACTAAGACTTTCATGGATACCCTATATAACGTCTTTTGTTTTCTGATTATGTCTAAGTTTCATCTCCACAACAAACTTCTTTCGTGCAGGGAATTTTTTTTTTAAATTCTTGCAGTGTTTAGAACCATGCTAGGCAAATAATAGAAACCTAGTGAACACCAAGTGATTGAATTGGATATGTTGCCACCACTGTTTTTCCTCCCTTCCTTTTTGCTGCATCCTGCATCCTCTGAAGGATGTTCCTGTTGTGGTACTGATGCTGTGAGCCTCTTGTTGAAGACCTAGCAAGATAGAGTGTGAAGATATGATAAGTTCTAAGGCTCTTGACTTTTTTCTTCCATGCTCCAGTGGGGAGCAAGGAAAAGACATGATTTATAGCAGCTAAGTGTCCTTCTTTCCCCTACCTGACCTGGAGTCCAGAAATTGTATTATTAAAACTTGACTGTGTCTTAGTGAGCAGAAGGCCAGTGTGCACGAGGGGGAAATGATCTCTGTAGAATGTACCTTGGTGGCAAGGGCTGTTTTGTTTTCGTCTTTGTTTCTCCATTTCCTGGCATAGTGCCTAGTACAGCAGCACTTAATAATTGCTTGTTTGGTTGATCAGTGGTGACAGTTTGCTCTGGCTATTTCAGATTTACAAAATTGAATCAGTGCTTCTCTAGCCTTACTCACTGATTCTGAGACTGTTCATTTAGAAGTGTATTTTGTAAAAAGGCACTTTATGCCAAGCTAGAGTATCCAGAAGTTTGAATCTCAAAATTTCTAGACTCAGAATCAGAAAAATTTTTAGCTGGAAATTATCTCACTCATACTACTCATATGTTTGTTGACAGGTGAAGAAATGGAGGCTTATCTAAAATTGGAACTATGCAACAGTTATTGGCACATTTAGTTGGGGAATTAATAGTGTAATATCTTAATATCATGAAAGCATCTACTGGAAAAGGGATCAGGTTAATTTTTGGTTTGTAAATCTTGGGCCAGTGACTTTACCACTCTGGGCTTCACTTTCCTCATCTGTAAAATGAGTGAGTAGGTTTTTCTACTTGATCTCTAATGGCCCTTTCAGTTCTAAAAACATTCTCATTCTGTGAGTATGAATTTCCAAATGACCTAAACTTCATATCATACTTATGGCAGTTAAATAAAATATTCTTCACCGTTCCCCTTTTGTGCCAGTAAGACAGTCCTCAACTAGTTTGCTATTTTTTAGAGAATTTCCCTTTTAAACCAAGCCTGATCATTCGTAATTGCTTGATGAGAGAGGGAATGGCATAATGGTTTCAGAGCTGACCTTGTAGTCAGAAGACCTAGGTTTAAGTCTGACTCTAACACATACTAATCATGTGGCTGTGGACAAGTCATTTAAACTCTCAGTCCCCCAGGCAACTCTTTCAGACTAAATTTTGGATCTCCATCAGCGAAGACTCCAAAATGGAACATTCCTTACATCATTAAAATGATAATCAGCACCCTTCCCTCCCAGTTGAGCTCAGGCCTAAGGGATGGCACCTTTGCTCATTGTTCTGGGAGTAAACTTACTGCCCTCAGATATGCCCATTCTTTTCAGGATTTGAACATTTCCATTCAGGATTTTTAATTTTTTGCTTTACTGTAGGTAACAAACTCAACATGTCTAAAACTGAACTCATTATCTTTCGCCCCAAACCCTCCTCTTTCTGATTTCCATATTACTGTCTAGGTTGCCACCATCCTTCTAGACATCCAGGCTTTCAGCCTAGGTGTCATCCTCAGTTTCCCTCTCTCTCTCTCTCTCTCTCTCTCTCTCTCTCTCTCTCTCTCTCTCTCTCTCTCTCTCTCACACACACACACACACACACACACACACATACATCCAGTCTGTTGCTAAGTCTTGTTAATTTTACCTTTTTAACATTTCTCCTCTGACACTGCTGACACCCTCATCACCACATGCCTAGACTATTGAAGTAGACTGCTGGTTGATCTCTCTGCCTCAAGTCTCTACCCATTACAATTTAACCTCTACTCAGCTATCAAATTTATCTTCCTAAAGCACGAATTTTACCATGCACACCCCACCACCACCCTCAGTTGGTAAACTCCAATGACTCCTTGTTTATCCCCAGGATCAAATATAAAATCCTGTTTGGTGTTCAACGTCCTTCATAACCTGGCCCCTTCCTCCTTTCTAGTCTTCTTACAGGTTACACTCTCTCTCTGCTAGTATTCCCCCACATATTCTGTCATCCATTGATACTGGTCTCCTTGCTCATCTAAGTCACTCCATCATCAGACTCTGTATTTCCACTGGCTATTCTCCATGCCTGGAATTCTCTGCCTTCTCATCTCTACCTCCATGGCTTCTTTCAAGTCCCAGCTGAAATCATTCCTTCAATGAGAAGACTTTCTTGATTGCCTTAATATTAGTTCCTTCTGTTGCTTATCTTCAGTGTATTCTGTATATAGTTGATATTGTACAAAGCTGTTTGCATATTTTCTCTCTAATTAGGCTGTGAGCTCCTTGAGAGCAGGGACTATCTGGTTGATTTGTTTTGTAACTTTATAAGTAGGTACTTGATAAATGCCTATTGACCAACAATACTGAATGCTCACTAATGAATGTGATACAGTATGGAAATAGTTTGGGGCTATGTACTTAAGAGCCAAATGAAATTTGTGTTTTCATAGCTCCCTTAGCATGTTAAATGTATGGAAAATTGGGTCATACATATTCCCTAGTATGTTGCCATTGCATTTGCCCTGCTTCTGAACATACAGGCTCATAGAGACGGCTACTTGACTGATATCACTGCCTTTTTGTTTCTAGGTGGGCCATGCACAGATATAGCTCATGTCTCATTAATCACGCCAACCAAAAGATCCTGTGGCACAGGTATGTACACCGTTCCTTCATTTTGAAATTCTTTCCATTGCCTAGATACTGAATTGCATTTGGTGTACTTGCCAACATTTAGTCTTTCTTTTTTCTTTGATTTTTGAAATGACATGGAATTGGCAATAAAAAGATCACAGTGTTGTTCATGGGGCCATATTGACTTCCCTAATGATAATAGCTTACATTTATGAAACACTGTATAGCTCATAAAGTGCTTTCTTCATAACTCCATAAAGCAAATAATGCAAATAGTATCATCTCCATTTTAAATGAGGAAATTGAGGCCCTTGATTAGGTTAAGTGTCTTGCCTGAGATCAGACTGTTGTCCTGAAAGGCACCTTGGAGTTGTTGGCAGAATGCTGGATTTGGAATAAGGAGGACCCAAGTTTAAATCCTGCCTCTGACACTTAACCTGTGTGGACATGGAGTCAAAGGAGCAGAGAAGTCTTTCCACCATTCTATGTTCCAGGCAATTTCCTCTGACTATAAATTGCAGTGAATATTTTATCTGCGTTGGTAGATGAAGTTCCTTCCCAGGAACTGCCAATACCAGTATCATCACAAGTCCAGTAAAAAGGGGGGCTGCTTTTAGCATGAACCTCGCAAGGTGAAGATCTAATAATTTATGTAGAGTACTTGGCAAACCTTAAAGCATCATGTAAATATTAGCTTTTATTAAGCATCAGAGCTAATGTTTGAACCCCAAGTATGTTTGAACCCTCTCTGGTGGTTATTTTTTGATGGCCTCAGAACGGGAAGTAGGGTTTGACTTCTTGGATATGAATGCTTGCATATATTCATTTCCTGGCTTCCTCTCAGGTGACTTCTGTGTGAAGAATGTTGCACAGGCATGAAGCTTAGAGGAAACACTGCTCCTTGCCTGATACTTGCCATGTTGCTAATTTTTCTGAGTAGAGAAAAAGCCTCATGAAAATCCTTTATAGAAAGAATGGGTGCCGGAGAGTGAGTTCATTTAATAAGTATTTTGACCTGACTGTTGTAGTATGATAGGTCTTTTCATTCTCATACCATTTTGTGATTTCTTACTGTTTGCCCACTCTCAGGAACTTGGAAACATCCTTGTGCATTTGTGGCATTTTTATTAAACATGAAGTCATGAATCCTGTAGCTTTCCAAAGAGCAGAAACAATGCCTAATGCTCTCTTCCTCTATAGCTTAATTTATTTTAAACAGTGTTTCCCATTTCTAATAAGCATGCCTGCTATTTAAAATATCTCAGAGATTGTATTTGGAAGAGTCAAAATAATTATATTGTTCTTCCAAAGGTCACAGCCAAGGTATTTTTCATAGTTGTCAAAATCTTTTCTTTAAAACTCTGTCAGGAATTACAAGAGCCATGCTAACTTTAAAAAAAAAAGTCAACCACAGTTACATGAAAGTTTTTTTTGGGGGAGGGTTGAGGTTTGATTTAGAAACACCACTTTTTCTCCCCCAGAGTTTTAGAGCAGTCACCTGTCTTAATTTGGTTTCAGAACGCCCTCCACAATACTACTTATAAGGAATTTAGTAGTTTACTTTTAGACAAGGTCAGGTTAATTTCCCTCACAACTGCCCAGTTTTATGGAGTTATATATGAGAGCAGTGACAGTACTATTCTGTTCTAGTTCTAGGCTTTCTAGATTGGGACAGGGATGTGCAATGCCCAGGGAAAAGATAAATTGTGTCTTGGTCACAACAAATGGGAAAAGAAAGATATATCCACCCAACATTGCATAACAGCAGTATGGTATCAGAAACCATTTTTTCTGCTCCTTTGACTTCATGTTCTGTGAATAGAGAACCTATGGGTTAGGTGCCAACATCAACTGGTTATTCGCCATTCTATGATGAGAAAATTTTTAGCTTCAGTTCCCCTTTTCTCTATGAAGAGCTGCTGAGACAAAAATCTCTGTCCTCATATTTGATTCCCAAGTCATTCTAGCGCTATTGTTCCACAGTCCAGGTCCTCTTCTGCTCCATTTCATCATGCCTTCAGAAATTCCAATTTTGTTGTTACAAACTTCCCTTTATTCCTAGATCTTTTCACATTTTTATCATATTCTGACAGTAGAAATCCTGGCTCCTCTCCAGGGTGGTGTCTCTGGCCAACCTCTCTAAAACTAGCTCCTCTTTCAGTGCTTCCTGAAGTGGTGGGCCAGGAGGAGGAAGAGGTGTGTTCCTTGTGGCCATCCCTGCAATAGCTCCATTCTTCATTGCAGTCATCTGCTGACCTCCAGTTTTGTGGAGTAATTCTCAAAGAGTACTCTTGTCTGGTTCACACTTCATTGTTACCCTGTGCCCCAGGTGCCTGCTTGCAGAGATCAACACATGTGACAGTGCCCCCTTGAACCTCCTGGTCTCTTGCTTATCAACCTCCTAAACTCTTGTGAATTCCTTTTTTGTTCAACATCAGCTACACAGGAGCTTGGTCATAACCTGGTCTGATTGTCACCTGTCATGGTCTTGCTGGAACTTTAGCCTCCTATCTCTGATGAAAAACTTCTGTCTCATCTCTTTAGTCCTGTCTTTCATCTTCACTGTTAGCCTTCTTTTTCTCAAACTCTAACCCCAAGTTATCTGTATTGTCTTCCTTTATTGCTACTGAATCTTCCTGGGGAACTTCATAGAACTGTGCTAAGTAGGTTCACAAGTTTGTTATATGAATCTCCTCTGGATTTGTGCTGCATGGCAGTCGTTTTATTCTTCCCTTATGATTCTCCTACTACACTATCTACAGCAACTATTCCAAACTTGATTCTTCCTCTCATCAGGCAACCTATTCCTTCTTTCCCGACTCTTCCTCTCAACAAAGAACCTTGATTCCTACTTTACTGAGAAAATTGAGGTCATTAAACTTCCTATTTTCCTCCATACCATACCTCAAAACCTGAGACTAACCTTGTGTTCTCAATCCTGTCCCTTTCAGTTTCCTTTTGGAATCTGCTGCCTTGATTATTCTCCCTCTCTTTTATTTCAGATCTCACCTTATCTATAGGCTTCTTCCCTGCTGCCTGTAAACATACCCAAATTGCTCCTATTCTTTGGGGGAAAAAAAAGTCCACTTGCCTCAGCCATTCCATAAAACTATTGTCATAAAATCCCTTCTCCTTTCATAGCGAAACACTTAGAAAGTATTGTCTGTACTCATACCTCCATTTCTCTAACTCCCTATCAGTTTTCAACTCCTTGTGATCTGGCTTCCAACCTCATTGATTTACCGAAACTGCTCTCTCTAAGGTTTCCTGTAATCTCTTAACTGCAAAATCTAATAGCCCTTTCTCAGTCCTCATCTATCTTGACCTCAGCAATGTTGGCCACTTTCTCCTCAGGATACCCTCCCCCTCTGGGTTTTTATAACACAGCTCTTGCTGGTTGTCCTCCTACCTATATGAGCTTATTTATGTCGTACTTCTTTGCTGGGTCATTTTTCATCTATACCCCACCCCTATCCATGAGTGTCACCCTGCGCTGTCCTGGGCCCTCTTCTGGTTTAATGATCCCATCGGTTCACATAGGGTCAGTTCTCATGTCTATACAAATGAGTCCCAAGTCTACATATCTAGCATTAATTTCTCTCCTCAGCTCCTGCCTCCATATCACCATAGAATTTATTATCTTTCTCTGCTAAAACCTCCTTTCTTCCCAACATCACTGATTTTGGTGAGGGCATCACTTTCCTACCAAACATCCGGGTTTACAACCTGAGGTCTTCCTCAACTCTTTATTGTCTCTCGGACTCTGCCTCCCAACTACTGCATCCAGTCAACTACCAAAGTTTCTCAGCTCTACCTCCACAACATCTCTCACATCCAAACCATTTTCTTTTCACGTGGCCATCACCCTTTTTCATGTCTCACTATCGGAATAGTCTTCTAATTAGTGTTGTCATTAGGCGCTACCTTCTCCAATGCATTCTACATGCCAAATTGATATACCCAAAGCACAAATCTGACCATGTCACTCACCTGAAGAAACCTTAATGGCTCCCTTTTGCTTATAGGGTAAAATACCAGCCCATCTGTTTACGTTAAAGTATGGCTTCAGATTTACCTTTCTAGAATATTTCTACATATTCCCCCTCACATGCTTTATGTTACAGACAAACTGGTTTACTTGCCATTCCATACTTGATGTTCTTGCTTCCATGACTTTGTGGAAGGTGTCATCCAGACGTAGGACAGTCTTCTTCCTTACTTCCACTAAGCTCTGGTTCCTTTCAAGACTGATGTCAGGTGCCGTTTTGTACACAGAGCCTCTCTAATCTCTCTGCCCCCCAGGCTCTGTGCCTTTCCTTTACCTGGGATTGCTTTGTTTATATTTTATATGTATTTTATATTTGCTTACCTGATGAATGCATTGCTTGTCAGAAGGACAACACAAAGCTCTTTGGGGCAAAGGCTTTCATTTTTGTCTTTGTGCTCCCCAGAATCTAATATAGAAGAAGTGCTTGTTGAATTTGTATAGAGCTATATGTACAATAGTTGCTTATTTAATGGTGGGGAACCACACTGACCTTGTGTCTGCAGTTAAAGGGAAAAATGAGAGAAAATATCCACTTTCATTAATTTACTGAATAATTGTTTCCTCCACTATATTGCACTTGGCCTTTATAAATCTTTAAAAATTAAAGAGGAACAGGTTTGAATAGTGGCAGTTTTCCCCAGCCTTCATTTAGGTCAGGTTAGTTGTCCTGCTTGAAAATTCTTGCCTTGAATAGGAAACACAGTGGTGTTCAGGTCAGCTACGATGGACTTTCAAGGACGATTGCAATTTTTCCACTTGGAATTTTTAAAAAGTCATCAGTCTTGACCTTCATTTCTTTTCAAGAGTCTACCCTTAGCCAAGTTAGATAACTATAATACTAACACAGCAGCCCCAGTCTCAGATAATGGTTATGATCTGTGGAGACAGAACTCTTCCATTTAAGATGATGAATTTAATTATTTGCTTTGAAACCTGTAGGTTCTCCTCTCCTTTTGAGTCTTGTTACAGAAGT